GACGGTGCTTCCAGCCCTCGCTCAGCCACTGACTCTTGTGTCAGAAGGAGGCTGGGTTGGAAGACCTGACCTTTCTTCTAAGCTGTCCAGATCTACAAACTTATTATAATAGCACCTGAGGCCCTACCTACCTTCGAAAACACTGTCTTCCTTATGGGAAAAAATTTAAGTTGTAATGTAATTCCCACCCAAGAGCAGAGGGAGAGGGGAGAGGGGAGGCTTCAGACCTTGAATAGGTCACCTGGGGGTGAGCAAGGTGGAGCAAGGGCCCTGGGAAGCCCAAGAAGCTAGATTCCCTATCTGTGAGAATCTGAATTTACAAAGACTCCTAGATCCATTCTGAAAGGGTGTATGTCCTTCATTGCAGGCCTTCACAGCAAGTACCCTTAACATATTTTAAATGACTCAACAATCTGGTCCCATCCTGCCCCCATATTCACTTGGCTTCATTTTCATTAATCTGTATCAAGGTGAAGATTTCCTTTCATTAAGGAAGCTGGCTGAGTTGGGCCTTGGGGCAATCACCTTTAAGTACTGGTCACCCAAGTGGAGACCTGGGGCAGGAATGGGTGTGGGTGTGGATATGGGTGTGGGTGGGGAGGGGATAGAGGACCAAGACTTCATTTTTGTTGAATGAGGAGAATTTCCTTTAAACTTTTGAAGGGTCTTGAATTGGCAAGAACCAAAAACCTCCTTAAATAATATTTGTCACTCTTTGTTCTATTTCCTATTTACTTTCAATGTTTTCCTAACCTCTCCAGGTAGCCAAGCAGCTTACAGGGTTCTGGTTCAAAGCTCCCCTGTGTGATGGGCTTGGAATGGGGCTGGGCCTTACAGGTAACTGGTGTGGTTAAAGTACTTTCCAGGGAGGGCCAGAGCAGAGGTCCAGATCCTCAACCAGTTGGAGCTACCCCCAAGCCACCACCGGGCACTGAGCTTTGCTAAAGACAGAGGAGGCAGCCTACCTTGAGGTCCCTGAGTCCAGGACTTTCCCAGGCACTCCTCATTTTCTGTTACTTTTTTCACCTTCCATACTGGCCTTTAGCCCTTCCCTAGGTGGCGTTTTACTGGTGACACCAAGACCAGCTTCACTCACACTCTCCCTGACAAGCTGACTGGACAGTGGCTAGGGTGGGTAAGGTGGCTTGAGTCACCTTTGAAGCTGGGAGAGGGGAGGTGACATGGCAGAATGCACACCAGGAAGTCAGAGCCCAAAGTTACCGCTTTGTCCTTGCCTTATAGCCTCACCCCTACTTCACTTCATTTCCCCTCTGTTATTTATTAGTAGGCATTCAATACATGTGCATGGAATTGATTTATGAGTTTCTCCTGAGGTAGGAACCCTCTAAGCCACAGATTTTGCTTAGGTGTGCTGCCACACAGGCAGCACTGAGGAGAAAACTAGACTGTGAGGAGCCTCCCAACCGAGGCTCATGGGAAAGGGATAGAGGAATCATAGAGATTGGGCCTGAAGAAGACTTGGAGACTTGGGGTGATATGTGTATTTGCAGAGGGCAGGAGCAGGGAACCACAGCCACCATCTTCAGATCTCTGACCCCCTCACTCAGTGATGTCATAATCACATTCTGTGAAGTTCTGATGATGGCAACCACAGGTTTAAGCTTCAGGCTTAGTGCTTCAGCTTGATAGGAGGAGCCTTTTCAGAAGCAGAGATGGAAATCGTTCCTCAGAATAAGCACAAACCTTTCATTCTTCGAAGTATGTACACAGAAATAGGAGACCCATGGGCAGGGTTGTGGCACTGGGTAGGGAAAATGGGTCTTGAGGGGGGCTTCTGGACACCACTTACTGTAAAGTCTCTTCTGGCTGGGAGATACTCTTATTCTCTGGATTGGCCTTTGCACCTCTGTGTCTGAGAATGCTCTGTGTGCCTGGGTGTGAGTGTGAACATGTATGCTGCTTGTGTGACCCTCACCATCCACTCTGGGGCCCACCAAATAGGGCCTGGTGGGCTCTGAAGCTGACTAATCTGGTTCTTCCACCTTGGTGCCTGCCAACTGGTAAGTGCAGCTTCCCAGTGTGGCCAGGATACTGGGCAATGGCTGGATCAGAAAGAGATCCCTGTCCTGCCTGAGACTGCAATTTGCATCTCTGGCCTAGGAAGGCCTAACAACATGGAGGCTAGGGCTCTCTGGCAGAGAGGAGGTACTGGTCAGATCATATGTGGAGGCCTTGCTCCCCTTTGAGAAGGGCAAAGACAGGGGAGGAGGGAGAGGCTTGGGCAGGTTAGGTCTTGAGAACCTGGTCATAGAAGCTGGAACTGTCTGGCTAGAGAAAAGACCTGGCCTGCCAAGAAACCTCTGAAGGGCAAGGGTTTGGATTGTGGGTAGGATGGTGATCCCAAAGTTCAGAGATTGCTCAAGATGGAAAAGACAGCCTGTAAGGTAGGTGGCAAGCTCCCTGTGAGTGAAGGTATGTGAGCAGAAGGTAGGCAACCATTAAGGTAGGTGGCCTTAAGATATCTGCTTTTCCGAGTCTGTAAAATGGGGATTTAGGAAAATGACTTCATACCTGCTAGCTCTGGTCAAAGCAGCACAGTTTTTGCCTTTTGGTCTCAGTAGGATCCTTAATGATGGAAACCTAGCAGTGCCAGCTTGCCCAGGCCTAGAGGAGTTGTCAAGAACTGGGTGGGGATGGGGAGGCAGTTGCTTTGTAAGGTCACCTCCCTCAAACACCTCAAATTCAGCCAGTTTCTGGAAACAGCACTTGTAAAACTCACCTTCTGATCTCATTTCTAAATATGGGAATTATAAATAGCTGGCTATCTTGGTGGTTCAAAGTGCTTTGGAAAGGGAACTTAAAACTGATGATGAGCCTCTTCCAAATTTCAACCCATAAAATGTGCACTTTTCCCTCACCCTTCCTTCATCCATTTTTTCTAGGAAGCTCAAAGAGGGAAAGGCCTTCCCATACTTTTCAACAGGGCTAATACTAGCATTTGTAGTGGGACATTTCTTCCTTTTGTGTGATTGCTCTGCCCAATGCAAGACATTTAACATCCCTGGCCATTCCTTCCTCTTACTAAATTCCAGCAATTCCAAAACAACTCCCAGTCATGGGGAATTTTCAAACATCCCTTAGAGGTGACATTGCCCCCCCCCTCCCACTTTGAAAACCATTGCCTGAATCCCCTAAAAGAAGTGACTTGCTCAAGGCCATATCACTAGCCAGTGGCAAAGCTGAGAAGGCCAAGTAAAGTCAAATACTATTGCTTCATTCCAAGAACTTTTATTCTTCACCAGGGTGTATGTCAGGAGAGCAGAGGGAATGTGGGCCTGAACTGAGGCAGTGAAGAAGTGACTCCCTGAACACAGAACTACAATTTCTCACGGTTCCTCTGCTTTTGCCAAACTCCGTTTCCCTCCTCTAGCCCACCCAGTTCGCTCTTTCCGCAATTGCAGGCACAAACAGACTTTCTGGAAATTAGTGCAAAGAGCCTGGTGGAGCAGGATCATCAGGTCAGAGTCAGGTCCCTTTTGGGCGAGCCACTACTGAAACCCCAA